GGGTAGCTCGCAGCTGACCCGCTGGAACATGGCCCGGAACTTGCGATCCGGTATCAAGCTGGACCGGCCGGTTAACCGGTCGAACCGGGGGCCGAGGCGTCCGATCGAGAAGCCCTCGGTGGAGGGTGACGTGTCCTCGGGTAACGGCGAGGATGACGTGGATCTGACGGCGGGGAAGTCAATATACATGGTTTCAGACGGAACAGGGTGGACGGCGGAGCATTCCGTTAACGCTGCCTTGGGACAGTTCGAACATTGCTTGGTCGACCGTGGCTGTCCCGTTAATACCCATCTCTTCTCAGGGGTAATCTCGACTTTTCACATATCTACACAATCTCTTGTTATGCAGGGGCAGGGGAGCGCCCACCAAATGAATAAGCTTTAATGTTGTAATTAAATCAAGATTATCGATATTTGAAGATCGAGGACGGAGAACAATTGATGGAGATCATCAAACAAGCAGCAAAAGAAGGTGCAATGCTCATCTACACACTAGCAGATCCATCAATGGCGGAATCCGCCATGAAAGCATGCAAGCTTTGGAACGTACCCTCCGTCGACATCCTCGGACCCATCACCGACTCCATCTCATCTCACTTGGGTGTCACCCCTTCTGGTCTGCGACGTGGCCAAAAACACTCTTCCCTCGACGAGGAATACTTCAAACGGATCGAAGCTATCGAGTTCACCATCAAACACGACGATGGTGCTCTGCCTAAGAACCTTCACATGGCCGACATCGTTCTTGTTGGCGTCTCTCGGACAGGGAAGACCCCTTTGTCGACCTACTTGGCTCAAAAGGGTTACAAAGTGGCAAACATCCCGCTCGTGATGGGCGTGGAACCGCCTGCCACTCTGTTTGAGATCGACCCGAGAAAGGTTTTCGGGCTAACCATAAACCCTTTGGTGCTACAAGCGATTCGGGAGGCTCGAGCCAAGAGTCTGGGGTTCGGTGCGAGCGTTAAGAGCAGATATTCTGAGTTGGGTTGTGTTAAGGAAGAGTTGGAGCTCGCAAGAAGAATCTTTTCACATAATCCCACTTGGCCCGTCATTGGTAAGCTATATCATATATATATATCATGGTATCGTGAAGTTGTGTGCGTTATAACTTATATGTGACGTTGAATGTGAATGGTAGAAAATTTCGATTCTTTTGGGTGAAATGCAGACGTGACAGAGAGGGCAATTGAAGAAACTGCAGCAGTTGTCTTGAGGCTTTACCACGACAAGCATTGCAAGCGCTCAATGCCACGCATCTCTAAGTACTACTGAACATATATATATACACGATTACAAACTTAATAAAACAATATTATTTTCTATCTGTTCCGAATAATAAAAATTATCGGCAAAGCGCTTAGGTAAGGGTACTTGCAGTGTTGAGATTCTGTAAGTAACATGGTCCATACTCTACATACTATATAGTATATGCGTATATATACTAATCCACAAAATATAAAGTATGATAATGTGAAAACCCTAATACTCCACAAGGTGACAAGATCTACGGGTGATACTTTGCCCAAACAAAGGCAACAAAATACACAAAAGAAGACCCTAGATTTCTTCATTGACTTCCGTTTAATCCGCTGCAGAAACGAACATATGAACAAAGAGAATCCAAGAACGCAAATATTTGAAAAAAAAAAAGATTCTCAATCCTTTGTCACGTTGAATTTGAACTCACAATCTTGCATGATAACGTGCGTGCCCACATTCCACTCTCAACTCTTCTTCCTTTGTTCTTTTTCGGGCCTAATTCCTTCGAAGTCAGCTTTTGCACTTTCCTCTTCTCAATGGCATGCGTACCCTTTTGCTGTTTCTTCATCACCTCACTATTTGGCTGGTGGTACCGAGGGAATTTCCATGCCCAAAGACTTGGGTCGGTCCATATATACGCCCTATGTACATTTAGTCTAGCGTGATATCTTCGCCGCTAGACTTGGTCATCGAAAGAGTGAATATGATTAGCAAGATCGATCCCACGCTTGACCTGTCGAAAACACATCCTCGTATCATAACTTTGCATCAAAATTTGTCACGGACATACTTTGTGATTCAAATGTTTATATATATATATATGTAAACAGGAGCAAAAGAAAGAATCGACTCACAACGTGGCAAAGAAGAGGACAACTTTCTTGGGATCTAGAATCCAAGAAGTCGGGGAACGCTTGAGGCTCGTCTTCTTGGAGAAGGCGAGTCTTCTTTCGGACTGGTCGGAGATGCTGCCGGCGGTGACGGTCGTGTGATGAACCGGCAGGCCTGCCGTCGGCACGGCGGTTGAGGTGGCGGTGAGATCAATGGGGCCCACATGATGATCTCCCGCGGCGGCCAACTTTTCCGGCGTGCCTAACCCTACTTCATCATCATGGTCAGTAGCACACAGCTTTTGTGAATACACAAAAATCAAATACCACATTTCGCTCCACTTTTGAAAACCACAACAATATTTTTCTTTATTTGGAAAAAAAAGATTGCATCATAATGTGTTTTCTAATTGTGCAAAGTGAGCATGCGGTGGCAGAACAAAATGGATGGTCTGCTGCTAAGGCCTGTAAAGCTAAGTATATATATATATATATATCATATATTAAATTCTGTGGACAGAATCACATGGAATAATTCAGGATTTTCAAATGCATTTTGAATTATTTCATCTGTATTTAATTTAATGTTAACAAGATTGTTAAAAACTGAGAGGAAGATTAACCCAATACTATTAATGTAATCTCTATATGTCAAAGATATTTGGTGAAATTTCATTTTCCTTACCCTAAAAAACCTATCTTGTTAACTCTCGCCAACTAATCCCCAACCAACACTTGGAGAAATCACAACTTCAAGTAAACGTCATTAAGCAGTAAAAAGTGCATTTAACTTTCATTAATTACGATTTGGAAAGGGAAAAAAAACTGAACTAACCCATTTGATTGAAGTCTTGGTTGTATTCATGATATATTCCGGGAGATTAAAAAAAACTACGAAAAAACAATAACAAGATTTTATATCCACGTCGCCAATCTAATTCTATATTTCAATTTCCACAAAAAAAAACCCTCAATATTATTTACAGACCTGTCCTTAACAATTCCAATAAATTACGAAAATAAATAAACCAAATTTCAGTTAAAAAAACAATTAAAAAAAATGAAATAACACAGATAAGCCAACTTGAATATATCGGGAAAATCGTTTTGTGGTTATAATGGATATAAAAATGTCATGTACCAACAAAATATTGTGTGTGTGTGTATTGTAAGATATTATAAAGCAGTTTAATAAGTAATAATTCATTACATACAAATTTTAATTCTAAAAAAAATTAAAATTTTAATATAATAATATCTCATGTATTTCAACAATTGAAAAATGGTTTAAGCATACCCAGCAGTAATTTATCGATTAACAAAAAAAAAAGGCATAATACCTCCAAGGAGTTGGGGCTGAGGCATTGAAGTCTCCTTCTCGACGCCATTTGGGTCGTAATGAATTCTCCTATCGCTGTAGTTTCGTCCCGACCCTTTCCTCGAGAGACTTCTCTGCATCTTTTTTATTAATTTATTGTAATTAATTAATTAAAATCGAATAATTAAATGTCGTTTTTAATTAATAATGCAGTTATGGACGAGAAAGCACAAAAATAATCATAAAAAAGGAAAAACAGGAGAGAATATGGAGGGAACTGCTAGAGAATAAAGTCGCACGATCATATCCTTAACTCATTGATGTCTTCAAGTAACCGAAAACAATAATTATAGTTCTTTCTTTGCTTATATATATATATATATATGATGATATAACTGGTCCCTAATTAAAATTGATGCGTAAAGTCAACTCCTTACGTTAATCTTCGGATATAAATTCTGTTTGCCAATCCAACAAAAGAATATCTATTTTTTTTTTACATAGAATTCAATTTTAAAATTAATTTTTTGTAGGTAGATATTACTAATTGGATATAATTATAGAGGGATGAACATGATATAAAAAACGCATGAAAATGTGATAAAATAAAAAACTAAAAAATGAAATAAAAGACACAAATAACCAAATCAAAATCACATGAAAACTCAAAATGTGGACCTCCATTTCTATGAACATAGCCCCAAAAAAATATCGGGATACGAATGAAAAAAGGAACAAAAATTGAATGGAACCCCCCAAAGCATGTTCGACAGCGATTTCAAGTTATTGACAATTCCTCCATTATTTTCAGAAAATTAAACACCCAACAAGAAGCAGTACCAAGAACAAAAAAAAAAACCCCCACAATTTTTTTTGGCGAAAAGTTGTGATTTTTTTTTGTTGGGTGAGCAGATAAATTCGGATAATGAAATGTTAGTTTTCAAAGGGAAAGACTTACGGTGAAAGTGGGGGTGGAGGGTAAGTCTCTGTGGAGAAGAGGAGCGAAGCTTTCCACATCGATCATGACGAAGCCCTCTCCTTTCTCTGTTTTCGTGCATCCGAACCCGTTTCCCTGATCCGGGCTCGGGTTTTTCTCTCCTTTCGGCCCCATCTCCACCCCCAGAGAGAGGCGGAGGGAGATTGGCGATGGAACAGTAACAGAAGAGGGAACAATGAAAGAAAACAATTGACCTCGCCGGTCAACGGGCACTTCAGTTTTTTTGTAATATTGAGAATTTGTCTGACCACTTCGCCTCTCTCTCTGTCTGTTTTCTCCAACGATGAACTTGAAAAATCAAAGCGATGCAAGAGAAGAGGCTTGTGGGTTCAGACAGAGCTCTGTTCTGTTTTTGTTTTTTGCTCTGTTTCAAGGAGGAGGAGGAAGAAAAAGATAAGTGAATTTGGGGAATGTGGAGGGGGAAGAGGCTGTTGTTTGAGTTGTCTACTTATGTTGCCATTCCTTTAAAATGGTTTGGCCCTTCCTTTAGGGTTTTTTTTTTTGGGTTTCTAAACCTATTATTATTATTATTATTATTATTATTGTTATTATGAGTTAATGATCTAGTTTCTATTTTGAGGAATTGATGTGTTGAAGAATAATTAATCTCTCACCAGTTTCAATTTAGATTCTTTTCTTACTAAATTATTTTAATAAAAATTGAATTAAAAATTAGACTCGAACCAAATTCAGATACTTTAAAAATCAATAAATTTAATTTTTCAAATTATAAGTAACCAAATCTAGATTTAAAAAAATCCAAACAACCTTTATTTTGTAACTAATTTTTTCTCTCAATAAATACAAATTCTCTACAGGGCGAAAACAATCTTTAAAAAAAAAATCAACAAGTAAGTTCCGTCATTAAAAGACTAGTTAATTGTCAATGATGACGTAGCCAACGGTGCAAGCGGGCCAGATAGCTTGAGCCATACGACAAGATAGAAAAAAATCATACTATATTATATATACATACATATATTATCATAAATAATGATGAGGATAATGATTTTTTTTTTCTCGGAACTGTTTGTAATAATAATGATGAAGGTAATGAAAAAATTGCCTCAAGTGTTGGTTTGAGGATATGGAAAAACCATATTGTATATAGGTATATTATTATTAAATGCAATATATATATATATATATCATATGGAAAATACAAAATATTGATATACACTAAAGAATATTTTTCACGCAAAAGTAATCATTTTATTAAATTAAACCGAGGGATTTCCTTGTTTAAAAACGAATTCAACCAATCAAAGCAAAAAATGGCAAATAGAGGAAGATAAGATAATTAGTGCAAATTTTATGATACAATGATGGACCATAATGATATGATTATGACGTCATTAATATCATGATATCGAGCGGGATTAAATGAATTTTGGTAGGATGGGATCCACGTGTCAGAAGAGATTAGGGAGTGTACACTTATTTGATTGAGCGAAACATCAATCAGTCAGAGGCATATGAATATTTGCTTTGGCGTGTAACCTCACAGAACATGCTTACCAATTCGTTCGTTGGCAATTCATACATATATATATATATATCTTTTTATTATAATAAAACCCATCCCCTAATATTCTTCTGGAAATTCTCGCCTTCTAAAATTAAAATAATAAATAAATGGTAGGTCGTATTTTATAATCTAATAATTTTCTCTGTCGCAGCTGCAACATGACACGCATGGTGGGCAAGCAAAGGCGCACGCCAAAGGTTTCAAAAATTCATTTGTGCAATCATCTGACTGTCACTCATCCCTGTCCGAACACGATCTCAATTTAGGTCAAGTTCAACTCATACTCTGTTTTCTAAACAACTGTTCCTCAAATTTCTGTATTGTTCCTTGCCCGGTTTAAACTTAAGGATCAATCTTAATGTAAACTTTCGAACTATCAAAAAAATTATATATATATATATATATACATGAACAATACTGAATGTGGATTTTATATCAAAGAGATTCCACACATTAAAAAAAGAATACAATAAACATTTATGGCAGCATTCGACAAGAGATTTCCAGAAACATAAACCCACCAGATTCAGATACAAGTCTTAGTATGGATATAGTGAGTAGCATGACCCACAAGACAAGAGCTGTGGACTAGTAAAATGGGTTATACAGATGAAAACATACGGATGGATAAGCAACTGTTAACCGTAGCTTAGTCGAGAGTCAATGAGTTTCATTGACGTCTGTCTCCTAGGTACTCCAATCTCACAGGCATTCACTCTGGAAGCAAACCGAAGGGAGCAGAGAGACTCACCGGTCGAAGATGGATCGGGCGATATGTTCACAAACATCAACGTCTTCGAATCACCGCCTAAGCAAGGCTGTTTCAGCCACGCAACTTTTGTTAGGCTCACTACAATACTGATTCAGGAGCCTAAACTCTCACAGTACAAAGACACAAACCTGGAGCAGATATGTCAACTTCGAGTTTCTGAAAGGAACGTGATCCTCTTTCTTTGCCAAAGCAAATATAACATCACTCAAGGCCGACAGACTTTTATTAATGGCCTGATCATTGCAGCAGGAAGATTAGTGGGCCTATGTAAAAGAACACAGGAAATGACATAGAAAGACAAATACTTTTAATCCGATACCTGTGTCTCCTTTAACCGATCTCCAGTTGCTCCACTCCTTGACAGTCTCTCACTTCCAGCCAGATCAATTAGGTTAAGAACGCCTTGTACCTGTTGTTCAGTGCTCTGCAAGACGAGAGAGAGTCAATAGATGAAGTAAGAATATCCAAAAGTAAGAGAGTGTCTTCAGGGCATGAAATAAAATCCAGGTGGTGTAGACATTACCTCATTCACCCCAGAAATCCGCAGCGTGAACACAAAATGACTCCTCGATGATTGTTCATTCATGTTTGTCTTACCCACAGATCTGCATAAGAAGAAACCAACCATATTTTGCTCAGTATATTCCAGTGGCCAATTCAAACAGAAGGACACACTTTCAAGACAATGCAGAAAACAACATCCTACTCGATAACATATAAGCACACTGAACTAACAAGACTATAATTTTCTCAGTGAGTCACGCCCTCTCATAAAAAAAAGCACCAAGCGAAATGCCGAGTAATTTGCTACAAAGCAATAGGCAAGAGGACATTTTTGTTGAACAGCTACAGTCGAGGAAAACTTCATGTGTACAACATGAGGGATACATACAAAGCTGACCAGAAGTCGTAAATTTTTTTTAACACAAACCTGCTCTGAGCAGCCTGCTGCAAGAGTGAGGAAACCTGTCCAGTACTGCATACATCCACTATGGTCAAGTCACTAACATGAGTATTACCATTCGAATCATGTGTGATTGTATATTGCCTTCCAGCAACACCACTCTCTGCTCTCGAGTCTGTGGCAAATGTTCGGTTTGTAGAAAGCAAATCCCTAATAGCCTCGTTGTATATCTCCAACATTGAGACCTAGAAGCATAAGCACAAAAAAACGTTAGGCCTAGAATGATTTATAGGAGAAAAGAAAAAATAGGAAGAAAAAGGGGTAGAATGTTGCAATGAAATGAACAGCAAAAATAAACAATTATTAAACATTCTAGACAGTAATTTCTACCTGCATTTTGTACTTCCAGCCTTGTGCCCTAAGGGATTGACTAGCTTGGAATATTTGCTCAAGTGATCGAGGGATCAATCCTTTCTGTTCTGGTGCCTCAGGCCTGCCCATCATGGTATAGGTTTTCCCAGAACCAGTCTGACCATAAGCAAAGATACAAACCTGCATCCACAAAGAGAGGAACAAAGAAAGCCCCAACAAACGGTCAGACTACATGCTGGGATTACAAAACTTCTCCAAACAGCTATTTCTATTACATCCAAGATGTCCGGAAAAATGCTGAAAAGGTAAATGTAAGTCCACCTTTAAGGCTTCAGTTAAAACCAACCATCTAAGCTTTTTAGAATTGCATCTTAATGTATCCACTTAACAGGCATCCCAAGGCTATATCCAAACATAAGAAGAATATTTACAACCTTGTAGCCATCCAAGGCACTCTGTACAAGTTGTGATATTTCAAAAAATACTTCTTCCTGAGAAGCTTCATGATTGAAAACCTTATCGAACGTGAAAGGATGCGTGTTCCCTGTGGGTACAATAGAATACTGTCAGGCAGGCAACATGATACACAGTCACATGCCAGAATAGTTCGCTTGAGAGAGCACATAACTCAAAAGTACAAACTCCTAAAAACAGCTCGCAGTAGCTCAAGTTAGACAGAGCTGTACCACTTTGGATCACATCAATGCCTCGTCCACGAGACTCTGTTGAAGTAGGATAGGCTATCACACTCGCTTCTTGCCGTCCACCATCGTCTGGTAATAAGGGACGCACTCGGCAGAACACACGTATATTTCCTTTTAGTTCCTGTCAAATGAAAGTTATTTAGAATGGATCCAAAGACGGCCAAACGAGTCCATATGTATATTCAACAAAACATGTTTTATTACAAGAATGGTGTTGTGAAGCTTCTTTCGCATTATCTCGCCCTCGCAAAGTTGATGCTCCAAGTCAGCAACATGGTCTTGCAATTCACACATAAGTTGTTTCTGCTCCTGGTACTCTGTCCTGGTCAGAGATATTGATGCATCTGCCATCTGTGTTATGAAATAGAGCTCTATCAACGTAAGCATTGTACTAGCTATCAAAAGTATAGTCGATCATACGATTACCTTTTGTTTCTCATCGGCAAAAGCTAATTCTTGCTCCAACACTTTTATACGTTCTTTTTGTAATTTACATGTTTCCTGAAGTGTAAGAACTTGGAACGTCAGGAAGTTGAATATAAGGAACTAAGGATGGATTAATGTAGCAACGCTACATTAGACTAACCTCCAAGGATCCTGATTTTTCATTCAAGATGTCCAACTCTTGAGATGATTTTCCAACACTCTCCTTATATTTGGCAATCTCTTCTGACAACTTTTGCAACTGCACAGCTTTGCGTTCACGGTCATCTCTGACCTGTTGGAGCTCATTTCGTAGACTACTGACATCTGTAAGCAGTAATTCTTTTTGTTTTACAGCATCTTTTTCTGAAGACTTGATAACAACATCAGAATAAAACAAAATTAAAATGAGATTAAGCATAAAGCAAGCAGACTAGCAGAGAGCAAACAGACCTGTCTTAGAGCCATGGTTACTTACTCGAATTGATATGAGTTGATCCTGCAATGATTTACTGTGAGCCCTTAATGTGCCAAGGTTATCCACTATACTTGACTTCTCTTTTTCAGCTCGGTTGAGTGCGTCACGAGCTGTCTCAAGATCTGTCTGGAGTTTACTGTTGTATTGTTGCAGACTTGTGTTGTATTCTTGCAACCTTTTATAGTTATCTTCTAGGGCCTTCGCCTAAAAATTCCAATCCACAATAACAACAGAAAATGTTGGGAAATGAGAGTGATTGCAAGTACAATCATCGAAAATACAACCAAGAACAAGTTTGTTGTACCGTCTCCTTGGCAGACATTTTCTCTTGCTTAACTTTCTCAAGCTCTTCTTCCAGAGAAGCTCGCTGCCTATCAGCTGCAGCTCTAAATTCCTTCTCTCTCCTGTGATTTTCAATCGCACCCTAATCACCAAAATAACAAGAATCCTCCAAAAAGTGAAAACCGTGCAGAAAAAAGATGTCGGAGGAAATATCAGCTACATAAGAAAAAAATCCAAGCTCCTAAAGTATTTTACCAGCTTATCAAACTCCTCCTTTGACAACTTCTCCTGTAGTGACATGTTGTGCTCTTTCAACTGTGAGATAGTTGCCTGCAGTCCTTCTTCTTTCGTCTTCATCTCCAAATCTACAAATTGAAATTCAGAACCAAACCATTTTACGTGTCAACTATTTATCCCGTGAACAGGTGTTTGCAATAGACGGGAATCACCTCTGTCACTGCATCTTTTTTCAGCAGACTCCAAAGAAGTGCGAAGATTTTCCTTCTCCTGGACATGGGTTTCCTCAACTTGTTGGAACCATTTGACACACATCTTCAACCTCTTGATAATATCCGTCATTTGCTCAATCTTAGACTGAGGCAAAATTATTAATTATTGAAAAGGCAAACTGGAGAACTTCAAATTTACTTAAATAAAGCAAGAGAAGCTCATCTGACAGACCTTGGAATCAAACTTGCTGGCCTTTGGTCTCTCATTGAGCAATGCCACCACTTCATCTTTCGTAAATTCTACTTTAGCACGGTCCTCTGCGCTGCTAACATCACTATTGGCAGAGATATCTTGTCTGTTCATTGTAGAAAGCACTTGTCTTCTACCAGCAACTTGCATTTCCAATTTCCTGCGCTTGTCAAAGGGAATGCTTGCAGCGCCTTCCTTTTTCTGCAAATAATACGAAAACAAATATAGTTTTAGATTCACAGAAACAGAATTTTCAAATCCTGTGCTCGTTGAGACCTTTTCTTGTTCTGCGACAAAAAATCAAAGCGAAATCACAGGAACCCAGTATTGTTCCGGATTTCGTCAACGGCGTGTCACTAAGAAACCAAGTTCAGATGCACTTGGAAGACACCTTAATAATTTAAGTGACTCACACGTCCAATCAAACAAATGGACTAAATCACCCAAACAGAAAGATGAATTTTTCATTGAAAAGGGGCTTACGGCGGATGGGCTGCGTGGTGGTCGGTTCTGGTTGCGAGGTGGCATTTCCGAGAATCTAGGTTCTTAGCGTTTCTTCACTGTCTGCTAGGCAGTGGCCTCAAAACCAAGCGGATTGCTTCGAATATTGACCTAGTGACGCAAGCACCTCCGGAATGATCCAGCTGATTGCTGGATACCGGGAGAAATCAAACTCTAATCTGCTTAATCGAAGACGAGAAATTAGGGTTCGTCGAAGGAGGAGGAGCCTTGATTGAAAATTTGAATTCGATTTAAACTCAGATCTTGTGGATGCTTGGGGAATTATAACGTTAACTTTTGCCTATCATTATATAACATAAAATAACCAATTCTTATATTATTAAACATTTGTGGGCTCATTGTAAGCTTATGGGCTTCAATTCGGCCCATTTTTACAAGTAAATGATCTCATATCAATTGGTCTAGACATTGTAGAAATACGTTGCCACGCAATCTTTTCCCATTTGGTACCACTCCGACGTGGCAGAACAAAGAATAATTATCACACGTGTCAAAAGGTTACAGGCTAAAACCATATCCAAAGTTATCTGAGAGAACATTGAGATAAGGTGTAAAATTCACTGTCCTAAAACCGGGAAATATAAAATTCCAATCGTATCTTCCTCTCCAATTATATAATCAGAAAAAGAACAAAAAAAAGTAAAAACAAAAAAAGATGGCGCAAGCTATGACATCGATGACCGGTTTACGTGGACCGTCTAGGGCAACATGCGAAGGGAGACTAGTGAGAGGGGCGGTGACTAGGGGAGGTGGTTTGGTGGTGAGGGCTCAGTCCCAGAGCGAGTCCGAGACGAGCCGCCGTGCAGTGATCGGGCTCGTGGCGGCTGGGTTGGCTGGTGGTTCTTTGGTCCCGGCGGTTCTTGCTGACGCTATTCCGATCAATGTTGGCCCTCCTCCACCTCCCTCCGGCGGCCTCCGTGAGTAAACTAACCAGTATATATACACACATATACATATATATATATATATGCTTTACGTACGGGATTGTGTGTATGTGTTTTTTTCGGCCGGGCAGCCGGGACATTGAACTCGGACGAAGCAAGAGACCTCAAACTGCCGTACAAGGACAGGTTCTTCTTGCAGCCACTGTCAGCAACGGAGGCAGCGTCTCGGGCCAAGGAATCGGCGAAGGAGATAGCCGGCGGTTCTTGCTGACGCTATTCCGATCAATGTTGGCCCTCCTCCACCTCCCTCCGGCGGCCTCCGTGAGTAAACTAACCAGTATATATACACACATATACATATATATATATATATGCTTTACGTACGGGATTGTGTGTATGTGTTTTTTTCGGCCGGGCAGCCGGGACATTGAACTCGGACGAAGCAAGAGACCTCAAACTGCCGTACAAGGACAGGTTCTTCTTGCAGCCACTGTCAGCAACGGAGGCAGCGTCTCGGGCCAAGGAATCGGCGAAGGAGATAGTGAACGTGAAGACATTGATCGACAAGAAGGCGTGGCCGTACGTTCAGAACGACCTCCGGCTAAGGGCCGAGTACCTTCGCTACGACCTCAACACGGTCATCTCCTCCAAACCCAAGGACGAGAAGCAGAACCTCAAGGATCTGACCGGCAAGCTCTTCCAAAACATCACCAACGTCAGTTTCTCTCTTTGATCTTGTTCTATATATAGGTGAAGCCAGATCAGATGTATTGTGCGCTCGTCCTTTTGATATGATCATTTCCTTGTGATTTTCCGACAGCTTGATTACGCGGCGAAGAAAAAGAGCACATCCGATGCGGAGAAGTACTACGCAGAGACAGTTTCGAGCTTGAACGATGTTCTTGCCAAGCTTGGTTGAGAACAAGAGACTGATGTTTCTTTTCACGTAATAAGTCATTTTTAATCCCACGTGATTTTGTCCAAATACTTTGGCTATCTCTTTATTCTTCTTGTCTGAATTCTCCGCCGGTTCAGATTTCAGTTTCGAAATCACACCATAACATAAGTTGTTAGGAACGTTCTTGTTCCGGAGTCATCGGATGCATCTAGTGCGGTACACGACATGATCTCGTTAAATTCGTGTCCGTACGTTTAGCCGGCCGTACGACATGCGTCGTGACCTAATACAAATCTATAAGAGTTGTCTACCATTTTTTATTTGAAAAGTGATCATCTAATTCATATAGCGAATTGATCAAATGACAAACGAAGTCGAGGTTATGGAATTCATATGGATCGAAGGACACGTGTCCATAAATATCATAATAATGATTTAACATAGATTTTCTTATAAATATTTTAATTTATATATATATTTTTTTAAAAAATAGATGATGAGTTATAATTTGTAAAAGTACCGATCTTTCAATAAATATCATAATTAATAGAATAATACGTGTTTTTGTGTGATTTGGTTTTATGAACAATATTATTATTCTATATAGACTATTTGAATTGGGTGGGCTTTGACTGCGCGGCCCATGTTCCAGTTTTCCATTCACCTATGGGCTCATACTTCACCGAGCTTCGTCGTCTCCAGCCGGGTAATCTTCTGCCCTAATAACCTACCACCGTTTCGCCGTCCGTCTCCGGCAAAGTTCGCCGTCTCCGGCGATCAATGTTTTGATCTTCAGGAAATAGAGTGCAAATTCGCGCATTCCGGGCAACGAGACCGCCAATTATTCGAATATCTCATCGTTTTGGAACAGATTATGCTCATTGATGGCTCGCTTGTGACGAAATGCCTCCAGATGAACCTCTCTTTGGTTTTCAATCGTTTTCCATTGGTCATGGTACGATGCAAGTCGTTTTCTACGTCGGCCCGCAAGCTTTTTCCCGAGTCTCTTCCCCGTAGACTTGCATCGTTTTTGCAGGCTTGCTCCGATTCGACTTTGCTTGGGCAAGGTAAGCAAGTTCACGCTTTTTTAATCGTGAACAGAAATGCCGGTGTAAGCTATATGGATGCTAGGATTTTGGGCATGTATGCTATGTGTGGTAGCTTTGAGGATGCCGGTAAATTGTTTTATAGCCTTGATTTACGGCATTGCATGGCCTGGAATTCGATTATGAGCAGCTTCGTGCGAATGGGTTTCTTTAATCATGCCTTGTCATTTTACTTCAAGATGCTAAGTTATGAAGTTTGTCCTGACGAATCCACTTTTCCTTGTCTCATCAAGGCTTGTATTGCTTTGAATAATGTCAGAGGGGTTGGGTTTCTTCACCATTCGGCTTCGTCTCTTGGCATGGATAGTAATGCGTTTGTTGCCAGTTCTTTGATCAAAGCCTACACTGACTACGGTCAGATTGGTGAAGCGAGTAAGTTGTTTGACAAAGTTCATCAAAAAGATTGTGTCATATGGAACGTGATGCTTAAAGCCTATGCACAATGCGGAGCCTCGGATAAGGTTATAGATGGGTTTGGTGCTATGAGGATGACAGAAATTAAGCCCAATGCTGTTACCTTTGATCATATCTTATCTGTTTGTGCCTCAAAGTCATTAATTGGTCTTGGTGTTCAACTTCATGGTGTAATGGTCGTTTCTGGGTTGGATTTTGATGTCTCTGTCAACAACTCACTTTTATCCATGTATTCCAAATGCAGGCAGTTTGCTGATGCATCTAAGTTGTTCCGGTTGATGTCTCGAGCTGATATAGTTACCTGGAATTGTATGATCTCTGGCTATGTTCAAAATGGATTAATGGAAGAAAGTTTATTTCTGTTCCATGAGATGGTGTCATCGGGTGTCTTACCCGATGCAATCACTTTGTCGAGCTTTCTTCCATCAGTTGCTGAGTTTGGAAAGATGGAGCACTGCAGAGAAATACATGGTTATATTCTGAGACATGGCATACTGCTGGATATTTTCTTGATAAGTGCTCTTATCGATGCCTATTTTAAGTGTAAGGGTATTGAGATGGCACGAAAGATTTTCAGGCAATGCACTTCAGTCGATATTGTAGTATGTACAACAATGATTTCTGGGTATTTGCATAATGGCATGAATGCCGATGCTTTAGAGATGTTCCGATGGTTGTTTACAGAAAAAATGAGTCCAAATGATATAACCTTGGTGACTATTTTGCCAGTTATTGCTGGCCTGTTGGCCTTGAATTTGGGGAGCGAACTTCATGCTTACATCATCAAGGAGGGTTCTAATGGGAGGTGCAATGTTGGTTGTGCTCTGATGGACATGTATGCTAAATGTGGAAGAATGGATATTGCTTATGAGATTTTCAGGAGAATGCCCGAGAGAGATAGCGTTTGTTGGAACTCTATGATCACCCGTTATGCACAGAGTGACAATCCACGTGAGGCGATAGATATTTTTCGTGAGATGGGGTTGTCAGGAGCCAAGTACGACTATGTTAGTATTTCAGCCGCTCTCTCTACTTGTGCTAATTTGCCTGCACAACATCATGGAAAAGAGATTCATGGTTTCATTACGAAACATCAAATTGCTGATGTTCATGCCGAGAGTGCCTTGATAGACATGTATGCTAAGTGTGGAAACCTTGATTCTGCTAGACACGTGTTTGAGATGATGAGAGAAAAGAACGAAGTTTCGTGGAATAGCATCATTGCTGCGTATGGAAACCACGGGTTGCTAAAAGATGCCCTCTTTCTATTCCATAAAATGGTTGAGAATGGAATTCAGCCTGATCAAATCACTTTTCTGGCAATAATATCTGCATGTGGTCATGTCGGAGCTGTTGATGAAGGAGTTCATTACTTCGAATCTATGACGGAGGGTTATGGAATCCCTGCTCAGATGGAGCATTATGCATGTATGGTGGACTTGTTTGGACGAGCTGGTCGTTTGAATGAAGCCTTTGAAACCATAAAAAGCATGCCATTTCCGGCAGATGCAGGAGTTTGGGGGACACTGCTTGGAGCTTGCAGAGTTCACAGAAATGTCGAGCTTGCCAAAGTTGCTTCGAGTAATCTATTGGATTTGGATCCACAGAACTCGGGTTACTATGTTTTGCTCTCAAATACTCATGCCGATGCTGGGCACTGGGAAAACGTGCTTAGTGTAAGAAACTTGATGAAAGAGAGAGGAGTACGAAAAATACCCGGTTGTAGTTGGATTGAAGTCAACAAAACAACTCATGCATTTGTTGCAGCTGAAGGAAGTCACCCACAGTCTGGGCAGGTCTACTCCTTGCTGAAGTTGCTTCTCGAGGAGTTGAAGAGAGAAGGCTATATTCCACAGCCTTACCTTCCAATGCACCCACAGACGTTGAGAGTGTCTGCCCATCGTCTCTCCTGTCCCGATAGCTAAATTTCACCACCACAGAATGTAGCAAAAAAGATCCTTGGACATTCGTGGTTGCAAACAGGTAAAGATTGATGCGAGTGCCTTTTATTTTTATGGTATAAAAACTGTAGGGTTCTTTTACTACCGTCATTGCTGGGCATGATTATTTGAAAGTTATTTGAAATCTGATTAGGCATTTTTATTAACATGTGAAGATTTATGCTTGTTGTCAGGAGAGTCCAGGACTGTTTGAACTCTGAATCACTAAAGGTATGCTCCATATGACTTAACTGCATTAGTTTGATCTTTTGTGCAATTTATTTTACTACATCTTCCATTTGCTGTGTGAAGAATTTATGCTCAAGTTACAGGAATCTCTTCAGGTGCCGCATTCTCATATTGTACTCCATTGATTCTCTTCTAAGGGTGCAGTACTCTGCTGAATCGATCTGGTTAGTTTCTTCTTTCTTGATATGAGAAGAATTTGCTTCTGTTCTTTAGCTTCGTTTCTTAATGAGTACAACATGGATTGGAAAATATATTTTAACTGATTGCATTGTCTTCTCAGGACAACTGACGTCTGATTAGGACCTAAACCTGTTCTCACTTCTCATAAAGGAGGTGGTGTTGTCAATCTGATGATGGATAATTGAAATCAGTTTTTTGGTGATGATTTCGAGAAGGATCCGGTCTCCATATTGCGATGTCTGGTCAAGGCTTCTTCCTACTCCCATCTTCTCATAAGACGGTGTCTCTCCCGGAAGGTAAGATCGGTTACTGTAGTTCTATACTGTTGAGTATAGTGACTTTGATTCATTGCTGAGTAATCGAAATTGTATGGCACCCAAAATGATGACATATGGATCTTCATCTGCAGATTCATGGGTTGTTTTCATATCATTTCTAAACAATGCAGGAACAAACGGACATCAAAGATCAGGTTGAAATCAATAAAAGCAGAGTCATGCTTGATTGCAGCGTGGAGAAAACCCTATGGCCAGGTATGATCCTGACAAACATCAGAACCGATGCTCAAGATCCACATCAAGAAACCGAAAATTTTCCGACATTTTCCAGAGACTTATTTAAATTGCGCATTAGATACAATATTGTTTCTTTTGTTCACCATTTTTTGCTAAAAAAATGCCTGCTCTGTTTCATCTTCCTTGGTTCTTTCTTTCACAGGGAGGAGGCGCAACATACAAAATTGCCAGTCCCTTCTTTACATATCCATTTAATAAACGTGAAATAGTACGTTTGCGGTTTGACGACGCTGACGCTGACGCTGACGCTGACGCAATAATCAATTTCTCACACATCCAAACGCAACTTGAAAAACGGAGGTTCTATGGCGTTTGCGTTGCGACAGCTGCGGCAAATGAGCGTTTTTGCCACCGCAGCTGTTGCAAATCTTCATCAAGACAATCCGTACGAAACTAATAAAAATGGGCCTACGTTTAAGCCCATTGTGGTATTGTAGCTGTTGAGGGCCCACAGGCCTAAACCCAGAGTCCTAGTCATCCTAGTGTAGTAGATAACGTGTATATAATATATATAAGGGAAAATGAGATTTTCCTACACCAACTTGGCAAAATGTAATCTTTTCCTGCATGAATTTTTAATTTGATAAAAAACTACACCAAATTATCAAATGTACCAAATTAATACACGAACTATCCAATTTAACTGCAATTTCCTACACAATCCGAAAACGGTGTTAAGTGTTATTAACCGCTGACGTGGCACGCCACATAGATTTTTTGCCACATCAGCATGCCATGTCATATTTTTAAAAAAATTCCGAAAAAATATGAAAAAAAATCGATTTTTTTTTAAAATTTAAAATAAAATAAATAAACAGCAAAAAAAATATACATATATATTCATATCTATATACAAATAAAAATATAAATATATATACAAAATAAAAAACATACACATATATATACAAACATCTATACAAATATATATATACATATACATACAAACAAATATATTTATATATACATATACATATATAAACACATATATATGTATATATACATATGCATATACATACATACATACATACATACAAAATAAAAAAAA